GGGGGAGGGAAATGGGAGGCTGGGAGGAGGCAGGAATTTTTTTTTTCAATAAAAAAAAAAGAATTCGCGGAGCAACTTGCTGAAGCCTGTGCTATACTCTAAGACAGATGCCTTCAAAGACTTATGCCTTGGGCTGGGGAAGCAGGTCTGTACTAGAGCATCACCCCAGCATGCTCGAGGTCTTAGGTGCAACTCCCAGCACCACCAAAAAAGAAGAATTCTCCCTCCCATTCTCCCCCCCTCCCCCTCCTTCTTACCTCCCTCCCCCTCCCTCCTTCCCAACCTTACATTCTTACTCCCTCCCTCTTTCCCTCCTTCCCTCCCTCCTTCCCTCTTCCCTCCCTCCTTCTCTCCTTCCTTCCCTCTCTCCTTCCTCCCACCCTCTCTCCTTCCTCCCACCCTCTCTCCTCCCTCCCTCCTCCTTCCTTCTCTCCTTCTGTCCCTTCTTCTTCCTTCCTTCCTTCCTCCCTCGTTTCTTCCATCCTTCTATCCTTTTTTCTTTCCTTCCTTCCTTCCTTCCTCCCTCCTCCCTCCCTCCTTCCCTCTTTCCTTCCTTCCTTCTTCTGCCACCTCTCAGCAGGTCCTCCCCTCTTCTCTATATCCATCAAGTCACTACTTGCATTTAAGTTTTGAATAGTTTGTGGAACCTTGCTAGAAAGGGCTCCAGACAGCTGTGCATATGATTGCCACTTTGTTTTCCCTCATATTTATCTCTAAGTTATCTAAACTCAGGTGCTCCCAGTTTCTCCCTGGGTCATTCGAATAGCTGGAGAAGAGGAGGATGTGTGGGATGTAGTTCCAGCCAATCCCCTGCCTCAGCCTGTTGGTGCAGGATCCTGCAGACACCAGATGGTGGATTTCCTTTGTCTCGTGACCAGGTTTCCTTGTTGGTACACAGGCTGGCCTGAAACAACTGGCCTCCTAAGATCCCCACACCTGGCTTTGGAAATAAGTTCTAACTGAAAACTGCTGTAGGCAGACATATTCATGCCAGGACAAACTGGAAAGAAGCTCCATCAGTGCAGTTGAGCTCCTAGCTGTCCTTGCGTTATCGATAGAAAGCACGTTCCTTTATCTCCATCTGCCTACAGATCTCACTTTTGGCTGTGTGACATGGCCAAACTCCCCACACAATATGGCCTAGCCATTTGTGGGCTTTCCCTAGAAAGTCTGTTGGGAAGCAATTTTCAGGGCCAGTTTTCTGGTTGTCTACCCTCAACCCCTGTCTGGAGTCATCACTCTCCAATGCTTTGAAATTCCTTTCCGCCTGGGCATCCTTCTTTGATGTTTGCAGACCTTGCTTACGGCTATTCTCAGGGTGAACCCAAGTGTTCCACATGAGAAGATACATGAACAGGCTTGCATAAAAAGATGTTCCTGTCCCTGCCAGATGCCACCACCTCCGCAAATCCAGCTATGCTTTCTATTGCCATTCCTTCTTTTCTACCACTGTGGACTTCTTGGGATCTCCAGAAAGGACGGAGACTCTGTTCTTCAGATCCCCATCTCTCTGTACCCACCGCAACCAGCAACGTGTGTGCTGACGAGGTGAGTGAGAAGGACTGGTGTATAGGAAGCTTGACTGAAAGGCCAGGCATCATAGGAAAGAGACTGACTGACATTTTAGGGTTAAGGATGAAAACTGACCCAAATCAGAGAACACAAGACCTCAAATTCAGCTCAGCATTAACCCCACAGATGTGTCTCCTACCCTACCCCACCCTCATACAGTCTACCAAAGCATTTCTATTGGCTCACAGGCCCATATGTGGTCAAGGCTGTGAATCAGACGAAAGATTCAGCAGGGCCAGGTACATTCACATAATGAGAGCAGTCTTTCCACACACGGGAGCCTGTCTTCTGTCCAGAGTCACTTCCATGAAGCTAGTCTTGGCATTTGGAGAATTGAAACAACACTCTCAGACACTCTGTTCCTTTAGACATGCTCAGCAGGTACCTCTGACAAATCTTGGGGTTTGGAAGAAACAAAGGCATTGAGTTCCTGAGAAAAGATGAGAGTTTATAATGGGGTTGCATTTCCGTTAGGTTTGGGGGGAAATGCTGTAAGGGGGTCAAGATAGGAGAAGCATCGGGTTGCAATCGATGTGACAGGCAACCTGAGCTATAACTGCAGGGACCCAAAACTTTCCTGCTTGGCAGACTCCCAAGCAGTGCTCGCTC